TTTGAGAAGTAGAAGACATTCCCACACTATTTTTGAGGTTACTCGAGGTGAGCGTAGTGCCAGGAGTGCCGATTTACTGTCAGAAAAGATATATATGTTTTTTTCCCGTGACGGGTTTACCTTTATATACCCTGAGACATAATTCAATTGCGTGTACTTCAGCCTGAAAAACTTAGTTTTCTTTACTCATACTCGCAAATATTTCCTCTTTAGGTCTTACTCCATATACTCCCGCCCCCACTCCTTCCATCGTTTTGGAGCCATCCGTGTACCACAGATAGTAGTCTCCAGCGAATGGAGGTATGTTCCGTTCCCATTCATTTCTGTCTGGTATTAGTATTAGGAACTTTTGGTGAAAGTTGAATTTAGGTAAGCAAATGTCAGATATGGTGATATTTAGTCCTTCCTCTCTTTGCATTTCCCTACCTAACAGGGAGTTATCGAGTAATTAATTTCTTTACTGGATTAATATTTTTACATAGAAAACATTGAAATATACAATAAGATCCTCTTATTGTCCTTAGCTGTGCAACTAAGTTCAAAGTTCTAATTTTAAACTTCAAGTTTAAAGTCAATAAATTTATTAATTAACTATTGGCTTAAAGAAAATTATTTCTAAAGACAGCTAGTGATTTTTATATTCGACAATAGTCAGCTGTATGGATATTTTTGTTCAATTAATTGAAAATAAAATTTGTGTTGTTCCACTGCATTACTGTTTAAACCTTTTTATAGTTTCTTTCATCGTATTTGACAATAAATAAATTTCATTTAATAAAATTTTAAAATATGTCATTGTCTGACTTTCTTCAAATAAAAAGTTAAATCCTTGAAACTCTACAACTTTGAGACATAGACATAGCTGAGCGGAATTGATATAATGAACTTATAATTTGTATAATAATTTTTGGGACCATAATTTCTTATATATTATGTATATATGTGCTGAAATATTTTCAAATTATCTTCATATTATAATAATAAACCACTTTAGTTGCAATCTCTCGAAACATTCAATTTTGTAAAGTTTGACTGCAAAAACAACAAATTCGCAAATATATTTAAGCTATAAAAACTTGAAAGGCAAACAACGAAATAACAAAGCAAACTGAAAATAAGTTTACTAAACGGAAATAAAAGTAACTTTTTGAAATTTTAAATTAATATGCAGAAAAAATTATTTTTCTAGCAAAAAATTGGAAAATAAAAAAATCAAAGCAATAAAAAATAATCAAAATATCGATGAATAAACTTCTCCTTTGTGTTGCTCGTTGCAAAAGTTGAAAGCGCAAAGTCGAAACAGTGGAAGAGAAAATTAAGTGGCAACACCACTACAGAGGCGAGTTGCATTCAGTGAATTTAATTTTCCACTTTAATGCACAAAAATGCAGTTAAGTTATGAGAAAAAAAAACGATAAATTGATTTTTTTGGTGGGTTTTTGTTACTTCATATCATACTGAAGTACTCGTAATACTTTAGTGCTTTATATTGGAGATTAGTGAGAACAAAAACTTGCTTATTAACGTTCATACCTAAAGAGTTGCTGCATCCCCAAAATAATTCCTTCATATTCTCAGGTGTTCCTCTAGGAAAATTCATTATTTCCAATATAGCGCAAGTACGAAAAATAAAGTTCATAGTTACTTTTTGCTTGAAAAAACTTTTTTTTTTCTGAGTTCTTAATTTAAATGCACTTCTTCTTTTGTTTTCCAAAAACAGCATCCAAATTTGAAATTTATTATTTTTAATTTTAAACTATTTTGCGTTAAATGAAACCTATATAAAATAAATAAACTTCTTTTGTTTTAATTGTTACATTTTCGAGTTTAGAGTACATCGCATAACCAAAAATTTCAAGCATTTTTATTAACGCTTTGAAGGTTTTTATAAAATGTCTATAGAAAGGACATTTTGAGAAAAAGGTAATTGTTAGATTCGTTTAAAATAGAATTAGAATTGAATTTCTTTTGTTCAATTTTAGAAGTTTGACTATTAAAATTGTATGCTTCTCGACTTTTATACAGAAAATTTTTTTAGAAAGAAATTAGGAGTAAAAACAAACTGCAAGTGTTGTGGAAAGCTAAACTGACGTTAAATAATGAATATTGCACACCTTTGCCAAAGTATTCGAGATTTTCAATAAATTCTAAAACTTTAATCATCGAAAATTTAAAAAATAAGCTTAAGTACGGCAATAAATAACCCTCAAGCATAATGACACAGAATTATATTTGGAAAAAAGTTGAAGTGCCAATTTCTGTCATTAGCCGAAATTTATTACAGGAATAATTGAAAATTCATTGATTTTTTCTTAGCATCTGTCAGATGTTTCTTCTAACTTGGCAATCAAATGAAATATTGCGTGAATTATAATATATGCCTTAGCATGCTTCGGAAATGGCTTTTGTATAAAATATTCAGGAAAATAAATTACAATTTTAAATGTGGATATCACAAAATATTTTAAATTATGCAATTTGCATTAAAAAAAATAAGTTTACAAAATAATTGTTTCAAAAAGTTCTACTTTGTGGTTAATTGAAGTGAAAATCGTAGTTGGAAGAATTGCTGCACTTGAGTATATTGCGAGTATTCACTGCAGATAGAATTTCTCATATTTTCATTTATCATAGAAAAAAACAGTTGAGTAACGTATAAAAAATAAAACTAATTTTTTTTTAATTATAAACTAAATAATATTGAATAATATCAAATAGTATCACTAGTAATATAAAAGTAATATCACTATAGTATTAAATGAAATAGGCTAAATTTCTGTAATAATATAGAATTTTAATTTTTATTTTTTCAATATAGTAATGAATATTATTATTTATAATGTGTACGATTGCAATTTGAAATATTCTTAAAAATTTTAATATTAATTCTGATTACTTTAGTTCATTGGATTTAAGTAACGGCTCAATCCAATGTTTTGAATCAGTGCCTTTAAACCATTTTGATGCTACATTTCCATAACCAACTATTAAATCAATTGCTTTTGCTAGAAAATCGCATTAAGCCAATTCATGCGATTTCGCAATCTCTGTAATTTGTAAATATAAAACTTCCATTAATTCTTCGGGATAATTTAACAGTATACTTACGGACTCTTTGCATCTAAAGAATCTATATGGTAAATTGAAAAGACTTACCTTCTTGTTAAAATGACTCCACCTGACTTCCGTCTCAATGGAACAAAATCCATTTATAATTACTCTCAGAAGAATCTTTCAAATCCTGCTTATCAGTGAAAATGTTTGCTTACTATAATATACAGGACTTAATATCTTATGACCTGGAACGCTGAGGAGAAAGCAGGTTATAGTTTACTAACTGTGTTTACTAATTGTGGTCTTTCCGAGCTTGTAATATTTGAATTACAGCCCGGTCATGTGATATTGTCTAATATTGTTTTTATATATCTAGGCAGCTGGTAGAATCTTTTAGCTTTTCCATTTCTAAATACTGTCGTCTGATCGAGTTGGATTAGTGAACTGACGTTTGATATTCAGTCTTTGCGCGTATATACTCATGCTGATACCACAAAGTACCTTGATATTGTTTCTGAAGATTGTTGTACCGAAACAATACAGCAAAGATCCTGTAGTTCAATCTGCTCTTAAGAATGTAATTACAACGAAATTCTTATTAAATTTCACCTTCATTACAAGGATGTCACGATTCGCGCTTACGATTGCTGTTCACAAGTTGCGGTCTTTTAACTAACTGAAGAATGTTTTCTAATTATATTTAAAAAGTATTTAAATTAGGTAAATTTAAATAATATAGCAATATAAAATATAACGAGAAAAAAACTAAATAAAATAAAATTAAATAAAATTGAATATAAAAAATAATGTAAAAAAAACAAAATAAAATAACATTAAACTGAAATAAAATATATTTCTCCAAACTTAACAGAATTCCAACAGTAATATCAAATTTTCAGATACAAGACATTTATTTTAGTTCCTTTCAGATTCATCTTCTTGTTTTTTCTTTTATAATGAAAGGCAATAGATTTCTCTATACTGATGAAGGTTTTCACAGATTTCCACTAAAGGTTTGAATTAAATTAGAAATATTTATGTGTACTAAATTATTTTTTTAATGCGTACTAACTAGCTGGTGTTATCGTATGACTTTAACTTATACCAATCATTCCTTGTAACGAAAAGGAATCTATATGTGACTTACTTGTGGATAGGATTTCTCATCACAAGTTGTATGCAGGGGCTCAATAGTTTCAAATAATGTGGCTTTATTCAAACTGGACTTACTTGACTTACTTTTTACGCTAACATCTTTTAACGGCTGACTTGATTGTATTAAGGACACCGAATTATCATCAACTATAAGGCAAGGAACTTTTTTCTCCACTTCATCCTGACTAGAATTCGCCTCATAAAATTTGCGGAACCATTGTAATAGCTCGTAGTTTTCACGATAGCTTCCTGCTGCTAGTTTAACTATTGCGAGTTCCTTCACTATCCCTACCTTCCTCAGGGCGTTTTGAAAGATCTTGAAATTACTTATGTAGTGACGTTCAAACGTAGAATTATTTTTCACTTTGTTAAGGTTAATAATTCCCCTAAAGAGCAAATCAAACATTTCACAATACTTCGATCCAGTTTTCATTTCTTCAACGTTGACAAGATTGATACAAAGTTTATTATTCACCCAATTTATCAATTCGAAACGGGAATAATTTTTCGAATTGTGGGATGTCCACGCATTTACCGCTTTCTGCATTTTTCTAATGGAACCTTTTTTCTCTTGGAGACAGAGAAAAGTTTTGAATTCAGTAATATTTAAATTACTAAAAATGTTTCAGATTGGAACTGAAATTTTGTAACGATGTTGTGCCTAAATTTATTTGAAATGAGTTTTGTATGTTTTATATTTTACAAGTAAAATAATATCTTAATGAATTTTTTCTTTTGAAATAATTTGTTAAATTTGAAGCCAACTAGGTTAGTATTAATCTAAATAACAAACGGTTTTATACTAAAGATGATGAAAAGTTTTTAACTGAAATATTATATTTTTTATAAATATACAAGAAAGGAAGACAAACAAAAATAATTTTAAATTAATTTAAAGAAATGTATGTTTGTAGTGCTTACATATATTTTTCTGCATATCCTTTTTAATATTTAGGATGTGAAATTATTGCTATAACAGAATCATATTTTATAAAGACTTAACACTCTATAATGCAATATTTTTGAAAAATTTTTATCCTGTTTTTATCTCAACTACTTGAGAAAAAGTAAACTTGTGACTAGAGATTTACATAAAGCAACTACATACGTACCTATCTTCTTAACAGTGTACTAACGTTTTTCATTTGTAGTTCGTTGTGAAAAATATTTTAAACAATTTGTTCTACGTTATAATGATGAAGCACAGGCTGACTGTTTGATTTGGTGCCTGTTGACAAGAAAATTACCTATATCTTCTTCCGAATTTTCCACTACCACAACAGTTTTTCTCATATGCAATGCATCGCCATTGCCGCAGAGACTTTGCTCAAACATTAAGATCGGTGAATAGATCTACACGGTTAGGGTTTGGTAATACTAAAACAACCTTGGATATCAAATCTAATGTCGGCGAGACTTCACGACAACCGATAAACATCGTATTTAGACCACTTGGAGGCTCTTGCAGCAATTACAAGTCCCTTCAAATTACTTGAATTCTTCGGAAGCACTAAAGATATATGTAGAAATTTATGCTGATGTTGAAACTTAGCACGAAGTGTATTTGTAAGTGATTTTTTGTGGCCTTAAACATGCAGATCTGACTATAAACATCGCCAAGTACGAATTCAATTACAAATTAGAACGAAAGATATAGTTCTAGTGACAGTGCAGACGATAACGCAATTCAATGGCATGATATATTTCTGTCGATCGTTCATTTGTTACACCGTAAGAAACCAGCAATGTTTTGTTTATCCCCAGATAATCAAATGAATTGCAAGGCCATTCGATTGGTATCCTGGAAATATAACGATTTTGTCAACGTACTCCAACAATTTGATGCAGCCCAGATTACTGAAATTTATGATGCCAAATCCACTGCCAGTTTTATTGTCAAAGAAGATCCTGCAGTCTTCATTATGTCTTGGTAGTGTCAAGTTTCTGGTCTCTCCGCAAAAAGCTCCTGGTTTGGATCTACAAATTATTAAGCTAATGAAGCTACTGGATGTCAAATATTCCTGACCACCGTTCATTTTTAGTAGCGTGTTCGATCTCAATGGTAGTCTATCTGCGAAACGTCATGTTCGCAAATTCTTTTATGTTTCAGACCACCTACTGTTACAGCACAAACATAAGTCAACATAAATCAGTTTCTAGAGTTTTTAGACCCAATTTTAGCGCATAACCAAATGACATTTAAAAATATCGCAAATTTCAGATTGTTAAAGTTATCTTTTACTTTTATTTATAGTTTCTCATATAATTTTTTTTCCTTAGCAAAGCAAGAAGTAATTTGCTAGTTGTTAAATGGTACATTCGCCAGATCTGAAACCAGACTAATATGGTCATATCAGTTGGTAGAGGATTGAATTTAAATCGTTCACAAGGCACGTATAATAAAAAGTCCAGCATAGCTGCTTTTGAGAATTAAGCAAAGAACATTTCCATTATAATCATTTGATTGCATTTATCTAACCATATTTTGCAAATAAGTAGAGGCATATGTTTAAATGGAGTTGGGTATTTAAATATATATGACATAGAATGTAAACTTTATATGTGCGAAACATAAAAATATATATTTCGGCCAACATCAGTAATAAAAATCAGTTAAAAATAAATATCATTATTGTTTTCTTCCAATTATTTCTCTCACTTCTCAAGGTATTAAAGTTATTAAATTTCTCTATGTTGATTCATGCAGGCCTTTCTTTTGTCGGCTACCTATCCGATATAATTTAAAGTTAATTTCAATTAAAAATATTAGGTTCCATTACTTACGTTACTAGATGTTACCAACGTGGTGTTCTCTTTTGGTTTCAACTTATACCAATCACTCGTAGTAAAAAAGCATCCCAAGGCATACTTCATTAACTTAAGACAACATGAAATCCAATAATAACATATTAGTAACATGGTCATGTGAAATTTGTTGTTGATTACTCATTGATTAACCTGTAAAAAATTTTTATAAAATAAAATTCTTTTGATATCATTTTTATTACCAAATAAATAACAAATTTTGCACTTTGGATTTATTTACTTTTCTTCATGTGCCATAATATATGTTCGGGAACTAATTCGGTGGTAAAAGTTGTATGAAGAATGTGCTTATGATATAGTCACTTACTTAGGGATAGACGTTCTCATCACAACTTGTCTGCAGGGACACAATAGTACGAGATAATGTGCCCTTATTCAAACTAGACTTACTTGACTTACTTTTTACCCCGACCTCTTTTAACGACTGATTTAGTTCAAATGAGGTCACCAAATTATCACCAATTAAAGGGCAGGGAACTTTTTTCTCCACTTCATCTTGACTAGAATTCGCCTCATAAAATTTGCGGAACCATTGTAATAGCTCGTAGTTTTCACTATAGCTTCCTGCTGCTAGTTTAACTATTGCGAGTTCCTTCACTATCCCTACCTTCCTCAGGGCGTTTTGAAAGATCTTGAAATTACTTATATAGTGACGTTCAAAGGTGGAATTCTTCTTCACTTTATTAAGGTTAATAATTCCCCTAAAGAGCAAATCAAACATTTCGCAATACTTCGATCCAGTTTTCATTTCTTCAACGTTGACAAGATTGATACAAAGTTTATTATTCACCCAATTTATCAATTCGAAACGGGAATAATTTTTCGAGTTGTGGGATGTCCACGCATTCACCGCTTTCTGCATTTTTCTAATGGAACCTTTTTTCTCTTGGAGACAGAGAAAAGTTTTGAATTCAGTAATATTTCAATTACTAAAAATGTTTCAGATTGGAACTGAAATTTTGTAACAATGTTGTGCCTAAATTTATTTGAAATGAGTTTTGTGTGTTTTTTATTTTACAAGTAAATATCTTAATGAAATTATACTTTTAAAATACTTTGTTGAGGTTAAAGCCTACTAAGTTAGTATTTATTTAAAACATGACAATTAGTTTTAAAACTGAAGAGAGTAAAAGTATTTTTTACTCTTTTCTAATATTTCATAACTCATTATTTTTACATTTTTTTTTAATCTTTGGTTTAGTTTTGAAAATATATGCTAAGATAGCATTACGATGCGATATATCATTGTATATTCTATGTCCTTAGCTACTGTATCTACAGTGACCATATACACAAACAAATTGACTGAAGGATTTTATCTTCTGCGTTAATTGTTGCAACAATGCGTTAATTGTTGCATAATGTATGCATCAGATATACTCTTATAATTGCTATGACCATTACTATACCCACAGTGTAGCACATCAAATCATATTATGCAAAATATGTTTATAGTTTCATCCGAAGTTAGTTTTCGTGATTCAGAAAAATATAATCAAAAGCATGTTGTACATATATTTTCAATTCAATCAAGCAAAAATATAAGTATGTCCTAAGCAGCCATTGAATGGTAAATGTAAATGTCAATGAAGGAAATCCTTTACAGTTATACTATCAGAATTCCCAAATGATTAAATAAACAGAAGTAAATTACTTGATTCCATAGCGTTACCCCTATATCATATATCGTAAAGTATAGACCTTTACGCTGATTTCTACTTTCCCAAAACACTTTCGTTTCATTAGCAAATGCATTTTTAGTTTTTAAAAGGTTTCCCCATACTTATTAAATTGTAAATATATTAATAATTTTTAACTGTTACCTACTATCAGAGCTGTGCGCTTTTAATTAGATTACACTCAATTATAAATTGTAATTACACTTGTAATTACATTACAACACTGTATAATAATTACAATTATACAGTAATCCGTAATTGAAGTAATCAATTATATTCACTCACTTTACTCTGTAATCGTAATTGAGTTTGTAATGTGATTGAATTTGTATAGGTCTGCTTACTGATACTATAATTAAAAGTTGATTTTAAATTTAATTTAAATTATAAATTTATATTTAATTAAATTTCAAATAAATAAACTGTTATATACTAATTTTAATAGCACACGTTTTAAAAGAGAAGTATATGAAAAGTAATCTTAATTTTCTTTGATCATATTACACTCTAGTATTATTTTCTTCAAATCAACATTCAGCATTGTTGTATGCAAACAAAGTTGATTTTAATTTTAAATTTTTAATAAAAATTCTAGTCATTCTTATTGTTTTCGTTTGTATTTACGTTGTGACATTTCACAATAGCAAAATTGTTCAACTTACTTTATTCAGTAATCTTCTGCTCCTCAGACTTACTCGACTTATTTAAATTTTTATGTGAACTCAACTGTGTTGTTATTTGAAATTGCCACAGTTAAAGTCATCTTACGATGTTGACAACACTTTTACTGTTGTTGTACGTAGTATTTTTATAACATTTTTATATCCTTAAGTTTATGTGCTCAGGCTATGTGCTTTGACTATGTGCTGGATTCCTGCCTGCCTGCCTTCCTCACTGCCTGCTTGCCTGTCAACTTGTTTGCCTTTCAACTTGACTATTTCATATTATTTCTATTTAATTCTGTCAGTTGCAATTTCGACTTTTATTTAGTGTTGTGGGTCATCCAATGATAAATGCTGCTTTAATCATTTCTCCATTTGAGATATAAGAAAATGACATTTGAACGCATTAAATTATATCGCCTGTTAAAATGAGTTATTTTATTAATGCTTTTGAGGACAGGCAATGAATTTTATATTGTGTTGTATTATTGAGTGCTAATAATATTATTGAGATTTAGTCAATTTGGTGTAATATTTAAAATTTTATTCCTTCTGAATAAGGGAATCATATATTTTAAATATTATTTAAATTTCAGCAAGGGTTTGTATATAAGATTAAAATCTTATATATAAGATTATATTAATAATAAAATATAAACTTGCTTGGAAGTGCAGCCACGCATTGTTGTAGTTGGACGATGTGGTCACAGATAAATATACAAAATCAACTTATATTGATAAATATATATACTTATATTAAATTTTATATTTTTAACATTATTTGAATTTTACCAAAGATTTAAATATTATATATAATATTATATTTATATTAAATTTTGAGCTTACTTGGAAGTGCAGCCACACATTGTTGTAGTTTAACGATGTAGTCACAGATAAATATAAAAAAATCAGCTTGTATTACTAAGCTTGTATTGAAGGCAATATTTAAAGAGTATTTAAATTTCACTCAGGATTTAAATATTAATCACAGGATTATATGTAAATTGGCGATTTAATCACATACTAATACAGAAAAATCAGCTTATATTGATATAAGCATTAAATACTAAAAAGTAAAGCATAGCTGGATATAGATAGTCTCTTATAACCAATTTAGAGCCATTTGGTTTTTATTATATTTGTAGTTTATTTTAAAGTATCAAATGTATATAATTGTGATTTTAGTTTAATACTACGCATATCTCGACATACTCTTTTCATTAATATCTACTCATAAAATCATACAAAATAATTTGGATATATTTTATTAAGCATTTTTCTTTTTCATGTTAAACGTTCCACTTATTTATTTATCAATTTTAAACAATTTTGATATCAATTTATTTTTACTATTTGCAGGGAATTTCATATTTCGCAAATATGCAACTATTTTGTCTTTATGTATATATATATATATATATATATATTCCAGCTTATAATAATATTTGTATATCGAATATAAGCATCGCGTATTCAATGACATTTTTTCCATACGCAATCCCTAAGCTGATTATGTTTGTTAAACTGGAGCATACATAATTTGCTCCCACAACAGTTGCTGCTCTAAGCGCCCAGAACAAAAAAAAAACTGTATCTTTTAGTATTGCATTCATATGTTGCATTTCAAGGAATGCATTATTTTGAAATATTTAACTTGATAAGATATCTGTCAGCTTAAATGCATTATTTTAATGCATTATTTACGACAATGGGAAGCGAATTTTAAACATAATTTATTATAAGCTTTTTCAGCAATTTATTAATAAAAAGGACAATCAAAGCATGAAACCAGGCACGTAGAAAGGGGTTCAGCTTAAGCTCCTTTAATATCTTCCCTTCCACCTCTTCTCCGGATTTTCATGGCTATATTTATATATATGCATTCATGCATTATGCATTATCAACGCATTATGGCTGTTTAAAAAGATGAGAATTATTTTTAAATTTTAGAAATTAATTAAAATCCCATCTAAAGGTAATTTTTGGTTAAGAGGCTGCTTAAAACTTCAACTATTCAATAAGTTCTATTTTATAGCAATTATATTAATATATTTTTTAATTATATCATATTACAAAAGATTAAAGTTATTGATTTGTGGTTAAGAAAATTGGGAAATTTGAATTTGAGATAATTTAATTTTGATAGCTTGCTCTTTTTCGTTGTACATAAAAAATATAATTCCTTCATATTCATCAAAGTATACTACGATTTTCAACTTTAAAGTAACTCAAAAATAATGCTATATAATATAATTAGAATATAGCAATATGATATATAGTTAATGACCTCATAATTAGCTTTATAATATAATTAATATACAATAGAAGATGTGCAGGTTTTAATGTCTTTTAAAAACTTTTCTGCTTTTCTACCTTTTCATACATTTTTATTTAAAATAGAAAACGTCAACATAAGCGGTGATAAATGTAGTTGATAAAACCTCTCTTGGTGTATGCTATTAATTAGTTTGAAATACTTCCAAAATATATACAGAACACTTTAGTTGTACTTCGAAATAACTCCTAAAACTTTTCATGTGTTTTCTAAAACCGCGTTTATTCACTTCTTCTATTACAAATGATGTTATTAAATTGCTTCTTCTTTTCTATCAAAACTACTGTACTACTAAAAGTGCAGATATGAACATAATGTAGATACCAAAACACCAAATGCAACCACAGCAGACCAACTGAAGCGGACCAACGATGAAAATATTTCCAAAATAAATTACAGTGACGTACTAGTGCGTCATATGGCGTAGCGCAAATATCCAAGCCCATTGAATCAGATATTTTTTATGGTTTAGTATGTCGCACCACTAAACGTAATAAACTGTCGCAATTTGCTACCCAAACAGAAGTAAAAAATATCACTTTTGGTGCCACACATGCCTGGCAGTCCAAACAATCGCAAATTTTATATTTTGGCATTCACAGCTGACCTGCATTCCCCGCCATGACATTGAGGATAATGAGTTTGATGATAATCTAGTTTCAAGTAATTATGTTGTTTTATTACTGGTTTTCTGTGGGAGAATTTTACTCTTTACTCGTGCCAGTGTAATGGAGTAATGGAACATTTTGACGTTACAGTGTCAATGCTGACCAATGACAATACTTGATTGTAATATCTTTTGTAAACTACATAAAAGAAATTATGCATATATATATATATATATAACTATTTCTTCAATAGTATATGGTTATTTATAGTTCATTCACATAAGGGAATATGAGATTTGGATGCTTGTAAATAATGATTCATTTTTGATGAAGAAAATGTTTTAAGATATTATATTGTATCGTAAAACAATTAGACCTTCAATACTGATATACAATGTGCTACCACATTCTCTGGCAATATGATCTAACCAAATTAATAACCATTTAAATTTAAAGAATTAAATGCTTAAATATTTAAAAAGTTATACCATATATGGTAAGGTTTATGTTCCAAGAGACTTAGAGTAGTAAAGCACTCAGTGGCTTAAGTGCCTTGGTAACTATGTTAAGCCTAACACAACAATTCTCTTATTGGATATCTAATTCTGAGCTACAAATTTGACAGGACACGAGTTCAGTCCTTGTTATTTGCAGTCTCAAAAAATTATTTACGAATAATTAAATACAAGAATTTATTTCCAAGACCACTGATGATTTGT